GACTAAGTACTTGGGAATAAATTTAACCAGAAGTACAAAGGACCTTTTCCAAGAAAATTACAAAACATTACTACAAGAAACAAAAAGAGATCTTGAAAAGTGGAAGAATATCCCTTGCTCATGGATAGGAAGACTCAATGTTGTGAAAAATGGCAACACCACCAAAAGCAATCCACACATTCAATGCAATCCCAATACAAACACCAACCCCATTCTTCAACGAGATGGAAAAGGCAATCTCCAATCTCGTATGGAATGGAAAAAAGCCCCGAACAAGCAAAGCACCCCCTAAGAATAGAAGAACGGTAGGAGGCATCCCACTCCCCGACTTCAAATCCTACTACACTGCCGTAGTGGCAAAGACAGCATGGCACTGGTACAATGACAGACACATAGATCAATGGAATCAAATTGAGAATCCAGAGATCAACCCATCCATCCATGGTCAACTGATATTTGACAAGGATCTAGGGTCTTAAGAGCTATAAGCAGCTGTCAAGAGGGAACTACTGCCTTCTCCCCTCTGAAACAAAGAGGGCCAAAGAAAAGCAAAAATGCACAAAATCAATTAATCCAAGAACTAATAACAGACCACACAAACCTCACCTCCATGATCATAAGAACAAAAAGAGAACCATTACTAGTGCTAACTTCTACAAAAGGGATCACAGTCCAGGATAGAGTGAAAAATGTGGAATAAAACTCAAAAAAACTGTAAATACAGTCAAGCTTGCTGGTATGCAGGTAACAGACACTCAGAAAGTTAACAGATGGAACTCTCAAGACTATGGTCCTTAGTCATTCCTCAAACTTTGAACAAAAGTCAACTTTGTGACTCAATTTTTACCCACTAAATGCATCCAACAGGGAACTCTGGTGGCTTAGTGGCAAGAAGCTGCACTGCAATCTCAAAGGTATGTGGTTCCAGGCCACCAGCTGCTCCACAAGAGAAGAACAATCTCCTCCCTTAGGATTAACTATCTCTGAAAACCCAAAGGGTCAACTCTGGTTCAGTTTTGACTCTATGGTACACAACAAAAACAAAATGCAACCAAGAGCTGGACAGTAAGCATATAAAAGGATCAATGTCTTTGAATTGTGGAGCTGGAGAAGAGGAATGAACATACCATGGACTGTGAGGAAAACAAACAGGTCTGTCCTGGAGAGGGTAAAACCAGAATGCTCCCTAGAGACAAGGATTTTGACACTCTGTCTCACTTACTTTGGGCATGTGGCCAGGAGGGACCAGACCTTGGAGAGGGACATCATGCTTGGAAGGGTGGAGGGAAAGCACAGGAGAGGAAGACACAAGATGAGATGGATTGACAGACTGCATAAATGAGATTAGGTCTGTTGGAGAGGATGAGATTGGCTCAGGATAGGGGAGGGTGCACAGCTAATTTACAAGGGGTTGCTACGAGTGGCAGGTGACCCAATGGCACATAACACAACAACAACAAATGTTTAAAGTCTAAGAAAAAAAAAGGAGAGGAAAATGCAAAAACAAACCTCATAACAACATATTTAAAAATTAGAAGAATCAAAACAACTATGAGATATCATCTTACAGTAAGAATAACAAAATTCAAGAGAAAAGCAAACATCAAGCCCTGGCAAGGCTGCAGTGAAACTAGAACCCCTACTCACTGCCGGTGGGAGTATAAAATGGTGCAACCACTAAGGAAGGCTGCACGGTGCCCTCTCAAAAGTCGCAAACCGAAACACCACCTGACCCAGCAACTCCAGCACTGGGAACACACCCCAAAGAAACCACAACCACCACCCAAGCAGACACATGCACACCAATGTCCACTGTGGCTCTGTCAGCAATAGCAAAGAGCTGGAAACAATCCAAGTGCCCATGAATGGACAGAGCAGCTCTGGCACAGTCACACAATGGAACACCACGCCGCACCGAAAACAAGGAACTCATGAAATGTTCTAAAAAATACGTGAGCCTGGAGTGAAATATCCCAGCCACAAAAGGACAAATACCGCACAGTGCCACTGCTGCAAAACGAGACCGACATCACGGCTGAGAGGAAACTGGGAAAGAGGGGATAAACAATGCACAATGCATCGAAACAGATGAGGGAGAGAACTGTCCAAAAGGGATATACGGAGAGTACTTGTGGCGCCGCACGAGGCAGAGAGAGTTAGTTGTTGTGTGGTGGTCGCGCGGCCCCGACCCACAGAGCCGGGTCTGTACCGGGCGGACATGATGTCGGACAACGAGGACATCTTTGATGGTGACGACTTTGATGATGTGGAGGAAGATGAAGGGTTAGATGACTTGGAGACCGCTGAAGAGGAGGGCCAGGAGAACGTTGAGACCCTCCAATCTGGAGAGCGGCCACAGGCCAACCAGAACCGGATCACCACGCCATACATGACCAAATTCGAGCGAGCCCATGTGCTGGGCACCCGAGCCCTCCAGATCGCGATGTGCGCCCCTGTGATGGTGGAGCTGGAGGGGGAGACGGACCCTTTGGTCATCGCCATGAAGGAACTCAAGGCCCGGAAGATCCCCATGATCATTCGCCGCTACCTGCCCGACGGGAGCTACGAAGACTGGGGGGTGGACGAGCTCATCATCACAGACTGAACCAGATCCTCTTCCCCCCACTCAGCTTCTACTCTCCGTGCTTCTTTCTCCTGCAAAGGGAATTTCCAGTGTTCTGAGCTTCTGAGCCTGGACAATGATGACTGAACGTGAACTTCTTCTGGTTTTGCATTTACCATCTTATTTATCCGAAGCTCACGTATATCAGAAGATGAAGACTTTCTCCTTTTTCCCTCTGTGACAATTTCAGATGAGGAGCGACGTCGCCCAGGCTTTTTCTTGTCCATCTTCTCCCCCTCCTCTAGACTCGCAGCAATAGCCGCTGTCACCTCAAGACCCCTCAAGCTGGAGGTGGGGGAGGGGAGAGGGGAAAAAAGCCCCAGGCTTCTTTTTTTAAGGGCCAGGGAAGTTAACAAGGATATTTTAAGGCCCTGGTTTTGAAACAAAGGCCAAACCTTGTTCTCTATTGGAAATATGAACTAATACTATGTCCTCAAAGATCCAAGACCAGGAAACACTTCAGGATGTGCAACGACAGTAGTGGCCCTTGCAGCTCAATATTCTTGGACTCTACACTCAAATCTAAGCTAGCAGAAAAGTCTAAATTGCACATCAACTCTTCCTGATTGGATGCAGCTGTCTGGAGCATTCTGCTTAGATTCTGAGACTGTGTCAAGGCCTAGTGGGAGAATGTTGTTATTGATTAGTTATGCCCACCACGGGTACAGGTTTCAGGTGTTTCAGGAGTGCCGGAAGCAATGCTGTTTCCCTATTCTTGAACCAAATGAAAAGAAGGAAAAGTTGCAAATACTTATGCTTATCATTTTTCTTTGAAAAGGGAGCACATGATCTGACAATCAGTTGTCATTATTAGGTCCTGTCGTGTTGACTACAAGTCGTACCCACCCTCTGAACAATAGAGTGGAACCTTGCACTATCCTCTGCCATCTTCACAATCTCCACCACACTCCAGCCTTTTTGTTCCAGTCACTATGTCAAACCATTTAGTGTAGGCTCTTCCTCTCTTCCTTTGACTCTCTACCCGTCTCAGCATGATGTGTTTTGCCTAGGACTGACCTCTCCTGACAATATATATGTGAGGTGAAGTTTCACCATATTTGCCTATCAAGAGCACCTTGGTAGCATTCCTTCAGGACAAATTTGTTTGTTCTTTTAAAAATCCATAATATATACAATGTTGTAGGTGTTATGTGTCATCAAGTTAAAATCAACTCATAGTTGAACCTCCTGTAGTGTTTTCGGAAGCTGTCATATTGGAAGAGATTGCCCATCTTTCTTCCATAGGGCACCTAGTGAATTTGAACTGCTCACGTTTGCGTTGACAGCACAACTCCTTACCACAAGACTAACAGAGCTCCCTAGATGTTCAATACTATTCCACAATTTAAAGGCATTGATTCTTCTTTGGCTATCCTCACTCATTGATCAAATTTCAGATATGTATGAAGCAATTGAAAAATATCATGAACTGAATCAGGTACACCTTAGTCTTTAAGTGTATATCCTTTTCCTTTGGCACTATGCATATGTCCTCGACAGCAGATTTCCCTAGTGTAGCACATCTTTTATTTTTTTTTCTTTTGCTTTTTTATACATAAATATTTTTACAGCATATTCTTCCCATTTAGTTTTCCCCCCCATTCGATCATTGTTGCACATATTCCTCCCTATTAACCCATCCCCCAGTTCGCTTTTCTCTTTGAAAAGAAAAAAAAATTCTTTCATTGTCATCAATCACCCCTTTCCTGCCCTGCCAAGTCCACAGTCCACTTTATTATACATTTCTTTTTCTGGAATCTTGTCATGAAAATAATACCTAAACATGTATTCCTTTTAAAAGTTCTCTTCCTTATCTGTTTCAAAGTAGTAAACAATATTTATCCCCTCTTTTCTTAGGTTCCCCTCAACCCTGATGTCAGTCCCCTTTTACAACATTGGCACTATGCAGTATTTGGCCTTTTGTGACTGAGATGTTTCATTCAGCATAATGTCCTCCAGGTTTATCCATTTTGTATAATATTTCATGAGTTTCTTGGTTTTCAATACAGCTTTGTATTCCATTGTGTAAATGTACCACAGCTTCTCTATCCCTTTGTTTGCTGATGGGCACTTGGATTGTTTCCAACTCTTTGTTATTGTGAACAAAACAGCAATAAACATAGGTGTGCATATTTGGGTGCAAACTTGGGTGGCAGTTCTGGTTTATTTCCAGTACTGGAATTGCTGGGTCAAATGGTATTTCTTTTTTTTTTAATATTTTTTTTATTGGGAAAAACATATTGGGGGTACAAGGAGGTGAGGGTTGGGGGCAGAAGGGTGAGGATGGGCCAGGATGCAGTTGCAGAGCTGACAGTTCGGTCGGTGGGGGGAGCAGGTGAAGGAAATGATGAGGGTCCAGTGGGGACCAGATGCTACAGAGGAATGACAAGCATTTTCCAATAGTAATTAAACCAACTGTCTTATTGATTTGGGAATTGGATGCCGACTCTCTGGCTTCTTCATGCTGAACAGGGGTGTAGATATAAAGGGGGGAAGGGAGGACGCTTTATCACATTACTGGTGGTCTTGGGTTACAGCTGCTTGCCTTCTTGCCCCTGATGGCCGCGGCGGTTCGCCCCGAGCCGGGGGCCAAGCGCAGCCTGCCCCGGGCAAAAGGCCACGACGGCTCACCCCGGGCAGGGGGCCGAGGGCAGCCCGCCTTGGGCAGAGGGCCGTGATGGCTTGCCCCGAGCTGGGGGCCGAGGGCAGCCCGCCCCGGGCAGAGGGCTGTGACGGTTCGCCCCGGGCAGGGGGCCGAGGGCAGCCTGCCCCGGGCAGAGGGCCACAATGGCTCGCCCCAGGAAGGGGGCCGCGACGGCTCACACCGGGCAGAGGGCCGAGGGCAGCCCGCCCCGGGCAGAGGGC